CCTCCCCGGCAGTCTGCTTTTGTAAAGATCTGCAGCCCTGGAACCCTATAAGGCAGGTCTACTTTGTTAAGGTCACTATGAGTTGGAATCAACTCCACAACAATGGGTTTTGGGTAATGGGCCAAGGCTAGTCATTCTCACCTTTATTGTACATTAAGGTAGGTTCCCTCTAGCTAGCTGTACCTTTCACAAGTTGCTGCTTCTGTTTTATTCTGTGTCCAGAAGATGGTGCACTTTACTAAACCAGACAGAGTCCATATTTCAGAGTGAGTCAGTCACATGTGACTGCTTGAGGAAAGTGTGTGGTCTTGGGGAGACAGTTGTTTTAAGTGGCTCGTTCTTGTTTCTGGTGCCTATTTACCCACTGGAAGCTCTGGTAGCATAGTGGCTAAGACACTTGCCTGCTAACCAGATGGCTGGCGGTTCAAACCCACCAGCCCCTCCTCGGAAGGAAGGTTGGGCAATCCTACTTCCGTAGTGATACTGACTCGGAAACCCAAGGAGGGGTCGTTGTGAGTCGGGGCCGACTCGACGGCACATAACAACAACAACATTTACCCACTATGTAGTTCTGCTGCTTCATATTTGTAGTTCAAATGATCAGGAAAATATTACAATGAAGGCAAACTAATGCTGTTTTAGTTATGTGCTATTGATTTGAAGCTGAAGCCTGTTCTTTGTTAAAGTGGGAGATAGCTAATTGTGTGTATTGAAGACATACTAGCACTAACACAAAGTTTTCTAGTAGTATATCAGTGTTTCACTGTCTGATGTATTATAGCATCTAACAACAATGGCACTAAAATAACAAAATGGGAAGGAAGGCTTGAAAGGGGAATAACTTTCACACTGCAATTCAGTGGTGCTTGCATCATTTCCCATACCACCACCGGTGTGAGAAACACTGTCAAACCATACAGCCTCCTAGTGGGCACAGTAGGTGGGCTTTCAGTGTTTTGAGAAAAGCAGTGGATGAGGGTTAGTGTAGCAAAATAATGTGCAAATCGAGGGAGGCTAAGGGTAGGGTTGGGTGATTTCAGAGAACCAGTATTGGTAAACCATCTTATTGATGAAAGTGTACCTAGGCCCTCTTGATGGAGGGGAAAAAGGTTGAGAATTACTACACTTGACCTGTAGTGTGTCTTAAGGTGCTTTAATTGGCCTTTGAGGCCAGATAATTGCTACACAAAACTGTCCCAGGCTTTGGTATCTTTGTTCCCTGGACACTAAATGCCAGTATTAACTCCCCGTCCATCCCAGTCATTAGGATTAGAAACCCACATAGACTTCTAAATACCTTTTGTTGTTTTTAGGTGCCCACGAGTAGATTCTGACTCATGGTGCAGAGTAGAACTGCTCCATAAGGTATTCAAAGCAGTGACTTTTCAGAAGCAGATTGCCAGACCTATCTTTCAGGGTGCCTCTGGGTGGTTCCCAGCTGCCAGCCTTTAAGCTACTAGTCAAACACTTAACCATTTGTGCCATCCTAGAAGCTGACATACCTTTTAGGGGTGATTAAGTACTGCTCACCAGGGAGGAGTGGTGAGCTTATTCTTAGCAGAGGGAATGGCCTGCCTCAGCAACTATATGGGAATAGTAATGAGCATTTGAAACTTGTCTTTTTCCAGAAGAGAAGAAGAAGTTGATCCGAGATTTTGATGAAAAACAACAGGAAGCAAATGAAACGGTGAGAACAGTGAGCAGTTACTTGTCTTCTAATTTTGATCTTGTTAAGAAATAATACTGTGTATGCCCTGAACAAAGATTCCTGCCTGTTGACCTTGAATTTGATTATTTCTTACTAAATGAGGCCAATTGCTAGGGATAGATAGATGTTGAAGGGGTTTGACTAACTCAAGTGGGTAAAGTTTGAAGACTCTCCAGAAATAAGTTTTTGATAGTATTTTTCCAATGTGAATAGTAAAGACTTTCTTATAATTTTACCTAAGTGACGTTTTTTAAAATCTTATTTTAAGAGCTGGCCATTAACATAAGTTGTTCTTTCATAAACTTACTGTTGCAGAAAATGTGGCTCAAAGGTCATTCTAGTCACATTCCCTTCTGTCTTAAAAGATTGCACAGTAGCTGGACTTGGTACTGTGAACAGGATGAGTTCCCATCCTGGACCCAAAGCTTGTTGGAAATTGCTCCAGGTTGCTGGGCAGTTTAGCAACCCACTGCTCTCTTAACGTGTGCCTTTCCTTTTTTTTTTTTAAAAAAAAAGGTTTTTTCTGACCCTTTTGATGCTAGAGTCCCTCTCTCTCTCCATCTCCTTGTGCTTTAGCTTCAGCACACCCATTTAGGAGATTGGGGCTAAAATCCATACCCCTGGCAGCACTCTGTGGAAATACTTGCCCCCCTCCCCAAAAGAAAGAAAGAAATGTGTACCCCTAGTTTTTGCTGCCACAGAATAGATGGAGAAGAAAAGAGAACTCCCTTATTTGTTGAAGAACTTCTTTCCTATCCAGTGTAGTTCTGAGAAGGTATAAGTTTTCCTACATCTCTTTTAAGAAGGACCAAGCCACCACCAGACTGTGGAAAATATCTCCATAGACTACTAGGAACTTTTCTTACACCTGTGTACAGCTGGGCTGTAAAAACGATGTGGGTGGCAGACTTCCTCATCTAATTTAATGAGGGTGGAGAATCTGTCAGCATTGGCTCAAGGCTGATTCCTGTGAGGTAGCGGTCAAACACACCTCTACCCTCTAAAACCATTTTTATCAGTTCTTCTGCTGGGTTCAGTGCAGTGGCCACATAGAACTCACCATTGTCTGTGATACTCATGATTAGGGGGTTTGGTGTGGAAGTACCAGATTATAAATTGGGATCAGGCAAAGTCTCCCTTTTTCAGTTCAGACAGCTCTCAGCTTCTGTTGATTCTCACAGGACAGGCCTCCTCCCTCAATCCCTGGCCCTTGGCTCTGCTCAGGCCTGTCCTCTGCCCTGCTTGGGCAATTCTAACAAAGCTCTTTCTAAAACCAAACTCACTGTCATTGAGTCAGTTCCAACTCATAGCAGCCCCCTTTGGGTTTCTGAGGTGGTAAATCTTTATAGAAGTAGATTGCCCAGCTTTTCCTTACACAGAGTAGCTGGTAGGTTTGAACTGTCAGCCTTCTGGTTAGCAGTCAAATGCCTTAGGCACTGTGCTGCCAGAGCTCCTTTAGCCCCACTAGTAGTACCCACAGGCACCCCACTCCGTCATTAGCCTCAGCTCAAAGATGCTCAGTTCTCTCACTCCGTGGGTCAGGAAGCTTAGGTCTACCAACAAGTACCTGGAGGGACCCCACTCTGCCAGCAATCATCCCATATTAAGGTGTTCAGCTCTCTTACTCCTTGGGTTGGCCAGTGTATGCTCAAAATAGCTGCCAGTCTTGGAGGACTTCCTGGCCTTGGTTTCCTGGTCTGCTGCCATTTCTCTGCTGGTGGGTTCTGCTGTGCTTGCTGCAGCTTCTCCCCATCTCCAGTGTTACAGCTCTGTTTCCTGGGTCTAAGAGGTTATTAGTGCAGAGACTCTAGGTCCAGAGGACATGCTCCATTCCCATCTCTTCTTGGTGATAGTGAGGTCCCCTTGGTAGGGTTCCACACCCCTTATTTGCATAGTCCCACCCAGTTATTTTGTGGGAGTTACAAGACCATGGCAAGAAAAGGCTATATGAAAGTGATTCATTGCATTGCATGGGCATATGGATGTTACATAGCCAGCCAATCCTCTTTCAGCTAACATCTTGGCAGCATTTTAAAAATCTTTCAGCTAATGTCAGTTTATTTGCTGCTCAGATACTTTCTTCTCATAAACTTAGCAAAATTAACTAATTCTACCCTGGCCATCCAGGCAGATGAAAATAATTTAGGACCTCTTGTGAACATGTCTAGTTGTTACATTTTACTTATTCCAGGAAAATGGAAGTTTGATTCCCCAGAGCAATGTGCTGTGGGCTCCTGGTTGTCTGTGATACTGAGACAGACATACTGATTTTCAGAAAGGGAAGGAAGAAGAGAAGAACCCTGATGCCAGACCCCCCGTCATTTCTAGTACCCTAGACCTCAGAGTACTGCTTGCCAATGACATTGAGCCATACCAGGCTAGAAGTCTAGACTATTGAAGAGCTGAAAATTACTGTGTGATCTTGAGCAATATGAAATGAGATAGTATTTGCTACCTTACTGAGCTGAGGATTAAATGAGAAAATGTATATAAAAAATGTTTTATAAGGTGTTTATTACTTTTTTCTTTTGGTCATTCACCACATTTTTTTAATGTCTGCACTGTGCTTGCTTGGCACTGTGCCAGGACTTGGAATAAAAAGAGGAACATGTCAGATGTGACCCCTGTCCTCGTGGAGTTTATGATTATTTGGGGTAGTCTATGTTTAATTAGCTCCAAATAGGCAAATGCTCAGATGAGAGAAGAGCCAGGCTAGTCAAGTCTACTCCCTATTTTCTGCTTCCCAGCTGGCAGAGATGGAGGAGGAACTACGTTATGCACCCTTATCTTTCCGTAACCCCATGATGTCCAAACTTCGAAACTACCGGAAGGACTTGGCCAAACTCCATCGGGAGGTGAGAAACACACCTTTGACAACCACACCTGGGGGCCGAGGAGATATGAAATACAGCACATATGCTGTGGAGAACGAGCACGTGGTAAGCTTGAGCTGTTTTTCCCCACTAAGGGCCTGTGGTATAAGAATTAACCATATTGTGAATATCATGTTTATCAGTTCACACTAAACTCTTTTTTTTCTTCCTTATCCTCTTTGCTGCATCCCTCTTCCCATTGGGCACCCACTCTGCTGTATATACTGCAAGTCTTTCCAAACCATATGCTTCTTTAGAGTTTCTTTTAAAGTATGTATGTGTATATGTATTACTAAAACTGCCTGGTATATAGTGCTGTATAATAAGTGTTTCCTGTTTTTATATCTGGACTCTGTATTGTGACTAAACATTTAAAATTTTTCTACCCAAAGACCTTGCATATTATTTACCTGAGGTCCTTGGAGAGAACAATCATGGGAGAAAGAAGGCTATTTATGCACAGGGAGACAGCTCAGGGGGCAGGAGTGCATGGAGGGATGGACACAGGGAAGAGGTAACTATTGGGAGGAAGTGGGAGGGGAGCTGTTGCATTGTGGTAAATTGTAGTCCATGTCATGAGACAAAGTGTATGTGAACTGCTGTATGGAAAGTGAATTTGCCCTGTAAACTTTCACCAAATCACAATTTAAAAAAAAAAAAGACTACGTATTATTAATTTGTAGACCTTTTTATAGTTTTGGTTTTATTGGGTTTTTTAAAAAAAACAAACCACTGTCATTGAGTCAATTCTGACTTAAAGCAACCCTATAGGACAGAGTAGAATTGCACCATAGAGTTTCCAAGGCTGTAAATCTTAACGAAAACAGGTGTGGTGATGGGTTCAAACCACCAACCTTTTGGTTAGCAGCTGAATGCTTTTAACTGTTGCACCATCAGAGCCCCAGTTTTACTGAAGGTGGTATATTTTTTTATGTTGTAACTTCATATATTCTTATTAGTCCCTTGACATTTCCTATTGTAAGTGGTATTTTATAATTTCTATTTTGAATGTTGACCTCTCCAATCAAGTTTATTGAACTTACTAGTTCTGAAAATTTATTGACTCATTGGATTTTCTGTTGTCGGCTCTTTAGCTCCTTTGTAACAGGAAGTGATCTAAAAGAACTTAATACAGAATGCTTCTCCCCTTGGCATGCTAGGCATTATGCAAAGCACTTGGACTAATGAGATCCTATAACCAAGATAGGGATGAGAAAATACTAGCTCTGTGGGGATTTGAGGAGAATTTCTCCTACCTTTTAACAACCATAGTTCTCCATACTTAAACAGAGTGATGCCCTTCCCTATGCATTGAACGTCCACAATAAAGGTCTCTGTCTTTGTGGGATTTACAGTTTAGTGCTTTGCATATGCCCAGTGAGAGAGCAAACTACTCACTTCTTTCTACCTTCCCAGTTGAACAAGATTCATTTAACCTGAACTTGAGATTTATCAGTGTTAAAAAATTAATATTAATTAATATCAAGATGGCTGCTAAAGAGGCAAGGAGGCTGCATCTTCTGACCTCCTCTAACCCCACAAGAGGAAGACAGAATCACCATCAATAGCCCAAGGCCTATCCCTGCGAGACCAGACATGTCGCCTCCCTCTAGCCCTTTCACCAACCGAGACCAACCGTTCCTCCCGCAGCACCTACCAGCTCTCCACTGGGTTCAATAATTCACTGCAGTGGCCACACAGAACTCACAGATTATGGGGTTTATTAGGGAAGCACCAGGCTACAATTCAAGTTCAGGAACAATGCTTAGTGTCTCTCAGCCTGCTGTCTCTCAGCTAACTGTCTCTCTCTCAGCAGTGTGTGTCTCTTGGTGTCTCTTTCTCAGCAGCGTGTGTCTCTTGGCGTCTCTTTCTCAGCAGTGCGTGTCTCAGGAGCGGGTTTCTCTCAGCAACACATCTTTTGTAGCCAGCAGTCAGAGACTTCTGCCTCTAAGAGGCCTCCTTTTGAGCCTGGCAGAGTAGCCAGACTAATTAATCAGAACATCAGAATTCTAAGCACCTGAGAGAGAGCAAACTTCCCAGAACATTGCTTTGTGCCACGCTCAACAGAAATACCCCAGGTGGACAACTTTAACAATCAGGAGCTACTTGGTTGCTCATGGCCAGTTCCACCATGGAGTTTACAAAGATTTAATGGCTAGAAAAGCCATACCAGGTGATATACTACACTGCAATGGCCAAACAACCCAGAGAACGCAGGATGCTTCATGTGTGGAAAGAGACATTCTGTGGCAATGGAGAGTAAGCCAGGTGCCTCTGTAGCCTTCAGTATTCTCATTTATAAAATTGGATTGACTGATCAAAAATTTATATTCTGAAACCACTTACTATGGATTACATTACCCAGTACAAACTAGAAATGGCCTGGCAGGTAGCATGGAAGAGAAATGGAAGGGGTCCATGAGTACAAGCTGAGTATGTGTGTAGAAGATCAGTAATACAATTATAAGCAAGCAAACAAATCCTCTTTCATGATGCATCCTGATTATAGTTTAAGGGGCATTCAGAAAGTGATAATGGCCCAACATTCCTGATGTCAAAGCTACTATATTTGAGAATGAAAAATTTTCAAAGGATTCACAGGCTCTTGTCACAAATCAGAAGCTGAGATAACATGACTTGTCAAGAGAAACTGGGAAAAGCAGACAGGTGAAGCTTTTTAAAGTTAGAGTTATAACAGTGATTTTGGTCATTATTAACAAAAATAAAAAACAAGGGAGATAAATTCTGATAGTAATTCTGCTTTTAAATGATCAGTTTCAGAACTTTTATATGTATATAATAGCTATGCATACCACCTTCATTAGAACTACTTCTCCAGGTCTGTCTGGTTGATTATTTGTGATCTTGTCTCTTTCAGCCCTTTCATTAGCTGATCAAAGGGAACTTTGCATTTTATAAAAACTTTTTCCTGCTTCCTTAAAGCTAAAGTAACTGAGGTGTATTTGAACCTCATTCAGTGGTTTCCTGATCCACAGCCTGTATGCCATTTATAAAATAAAGACTTTCGTTACTTCTGACCCAGGAACCCATCTTTTGGCTCCTTGATGGTGGTGCCCTTGTTCTAGTAGTCACCTGCTTGGTGGCAGGCCTCTGTGAGCTGGGCCCTTTAATTTTTGCTTCTTCAGTTGTACTTTGAATACCTAAGACGTTAGAGCAACACCCATTTCTGTCAGTGCTTATTAATTCTGGCCTGCCCTTATACTTTTTGTGCTTAAGATTATAGGTGGATACAATTTTGGTGGGAACTGAAAAATTTAGGGCTCTTAGGAAATGAGGGCAGCTGGGGAAGATTACTTGGGCTGGAGAACAAATCACCAATGTGACAGCTTAGCCAGTTTTTATTTGGACAGAGGTGAAATTCATCATGGGCTTTCCAAGAGTATAGCCACTCTTTTTTGTCTAGAACGTGGGAGTGCTCAGATGGTGTAAATGACCCCTTTGTGTATTCAAAAAGAATTGCTTATTCCTGGCATCTCAATGTTCAGTACCAGTGAGGTGGGAATCTGTAGTGAATTAATCTATTTCTAGGGCTGCAGGGTTGGTTTGCTTATTTGTTGTTGTTGTTAGGTGCTATTGAGTAGGCTCTGATTCATAGCAACCCGGTGCACAACAGAACAAAACACTGCCTGGTCATGCGCCATCCTCACAATCCTCGTTATACTTCAGCCCGTCATTGCAACCACAGTTGCAATCCATCTCATTGAGGGTCTTCCCCTTTTTCCTGACCCTCCACTTTACCAAGCATGACATCCTTCTCCAGGGAATGGTCCTTCTGACAACATGACCAAAGTAGGTGAGACAAAGTCTGGCTGTTCTCGCTTCCAAGGAGCATTCTGGCTGCACTTCTTCCAGGACAGACTTGTTTGTTCTTCTGGTAGTCTGTGGTGTTTCAAGTATTCTTTAGCACCACAATTCAAAGGCATCAACTCTTCTTTGGTCTTCCGTATTCATTGTCTAGCTTTCACATGCATATGAGGCAATTGTTAGGTGCACCTCAGTCTTCAAAGTGGCATCTTTGCTGTTCAACACTTTAAAGAGATCTTTTGCAGCTAATTTGTACAGTACAATATGATGTCTGATTTCTTGACTGCTGCTTCCATGGTTTGCTTAGAGTGCTACCAAAGTTAATTGTTGTTGTTGTTGTTGTTATGTGCCATCGAGTCGGCCCCGACTCATAGCGACCCCTCCTTGGGTTTCCGAGGCAGTATCACTACGGAAGTAGGATTGCCCAACCTTCCTCCAAAGTTAATTGGATACATGCATTTTCACGTAGCTTCTTCACCCCAAATCTGGGTCACTGTGTCTCAGAACTTGCTAGTCCAGGAGGCACTCTCTGCAGTTCAGATTTATCACAAATCATAGGGAAAATGCTCTGATGCTTTTAATTCTCCTTCCTTCAAGTGGTGTAATGGGTAAACCATGTGACTGTTAACCAGGTTAATGGTTCAAACCCATTGGCTGTTCTGTGGGAGGAAGATGTGGCAATCTATTACCCTAAAGATTTATAGCCTTGGAAACCCAGTAGGAGTTGCTGTGAGTCAGCATCGACTTGATGGCAGTGGATTTGGGTTTGTTTTTTTTTTTTTTAACTTTTTTTGAATATTTTGCCTCATTTAAGTAAAACAGTGGAATGGAAGGTATTATGATCCTGTTGATTGTATTCCAGGTTCTACTATATTTAGTCTGTGACTTTGTTCTTGTATTTCATTAGCAGTTTTGATTCTTGTACTGTGATGAAAATTAATGCTCACTGTATCCCTTCTTTGGAGTCCCTGGGTTGTGCAGATGGTTAAGTGCTCTACTACTAATGGAAAGATTGGTGGTTTGAACCCACCCAAAGATGTCTTAGAAGGCAAGCCTGACAATCTGCCTCCTAAGCTTCACAGCTTTGAAAAACCCTGTGAAGCAATTGTACTCTGCACACGTGGGTTGCCATGAGTCAGAATTGATTCGGTGACAATGAACAGTAACACAATATTCCTTCTTATATAAGTCATAAGGAATGTGCTATCAGTGAATTTATAAATACAAGGCTAACATTTCCCTTTCAGAATCAGCTACAGTCTCAAAGGGTATTGCTTCTGCAAGGCACCGACAGCCTGAACCGGGCCACCCAGAGTATTGAGCGTTCTCATCGGATTGCCACAGAGACTGACCAGATTGGCTCAGAAATCATAGAGGAGCTAGGGGAGCAACGAGAACAATTGGAACGTACCAAGAGCAGAGTGAGTTCGGGCAGATGGATTAAAGGGGCAAGAGTGGAAAAAGTAGGTGAGCCCACTATACCCCAAAGCCCAAAGCAACAGCAGTTCTGGAAATGACCTTCACATTCTTATGTTTTTCTCAATTTTCAGTTTGCTTGACTGAGAGGACATCCCCTGTAGAAGTAGTTTTACCCATAACGATTAGAGATCGTTTGGAAATTTTGTTTTAATGAGGAAAAAGAAGACTGAAGAAATCTGATTTCTTCATTTATTGAAGACTGTCATATAAAGACTACAGCTCCTCCATCCTTTAATTAATTCCTGTTACTACCTCATTGGCAAGAGAATAACATGTCAAAAGACACACAGATTTATAACCACCAATCTGAGTTTTCTTTTTCGTTCTTATACGTCTGTTGTAACATTATGCTATTGTTTTGAAAGTGTCATCTACTTGTGAGTTCCTACCCTTTTTGTCATTTAGAGCCAAGAGTATTTTTCATATGTCATAAAATAGTACATTGGCAAGCTCTAGAGATTCAGTCGTGGACTATAACCCTTTACTGTCACCTAAGGTAAGCTAGATCATTGTAGGAAAAAAAACAGAAATTCTTACTAGGCCAACTGATGATTATTTGGGGCCATCTAATCTATTGTCACTCTAAGAGGTTCTGAAAAATAGAATCATTTCTTCCTTTCTATAAATGAGTTAATCTGCATAGGAATTTTTTAAATAGTTCAGCTGGCCAGTGGAACACTATATTAATAACAAGGTAAATCAAGCTGAAAAGCAGACAACTATGGACAAAACTTAGGATGGGAAAATACTAGCTCTGTGGGGATTTAAAGGGGATTTCACAATACATCTTAACTGCAGTTCTCTATACTTAAATCAGAGTGATATCGTTACCTACTCATTGAAAGCCAACAATAAGGCACTAAATTCAAGGCAAGCCAAGGAGAATACAACTTGCTTACAAATTATGGATTTTTTTCAATTTTTAAACATTCCAGGTAGATAGGTTGAATTTAAAACCCAAGGAATGGACCAAGAGATCAACTTATCAAGGCCCCTGGGAATGGGAAGAGCATTCTTTGACATATCCTCCAGCTATCCAGATTAATAAATCAGCTGAAACGGAAAGGTCCATGGGGTTAATTCCTTTCATAGTTCAGTGTAAGTGCCTCTTGTAAAAGGGGGAAAAAAGAACCAGATCTCAAAAGCGGAAAGCCATCACAGCCTATAAAACCAAACACTAACTTAAGAGCTTCTCCTGGAGTTTGGCTGATTAAATTCAAATCTTAAATTGCTTCATAGTCCCAGACAAGTACTAGCTCAGTCCCAGAAATCCCGTAAAGCAACCTTGGGATTATAATGATTCCTAAGCCTACCTGATGAGTACTAATGCATCTTGTCCTTTCCATTCTTTTCTACTTATACTCAGAGGCCATCATTTAAATTGATCCTACTTCTTGGAGTTTCTCAGTGTATACCACTTTGTGCCCAGTTGTCATTTTAGGAATATCCACATTCTACAGTGTGTATGTACTCTGGCAAGAAGGGGAAGTAATTGCTGTTTTCTCTCCTCAGCTGGTAAACACAAGTGAAAACTTGAGCAAAAGTCGAAAGATTCTCCGGTCAATGTCCAGAAAGTAAGTTTTTAAAATAGTTATAAAATTAATTTCTCTCTAACTTTTAATGTCTTCCACACTGACTTTCAAAATACTTCAGCTCTTGATACCACATAATCTCCCTATATTCACTACAACCCAGCAGATCAGAAGAAATAAAAGTAAGAAATAGGGCCTTGCATAGTTAAATATTCCTGGACAGAAACCTTTGGTAAAAGTATATACTGCTCTGAATAAGTCTTCATGGAAAAGGTATCCACTGATGTAAAACAAAATTGCTTTGTAAAATTGTACACAGATCACAATAAAAATTTATTTTTACAAAGAAAGGATACCACTGAAAGGACTTATATTCCTTAGAAAAGATAGCACATGGGAGGAAATAGTAGAGCTTCATGTTCCTTGAAATGTATTTGTAAAAATGATTTAAAAACTATTTTCACTGCTGCTTGTTTTTGGCACTGCTTGCTCTTCATGGGAATTAATCTCTTACTGGTATTTCTGGCCTTATTAGCAAAAAGTTGACTTTAAAAAAACCCTTGAATTAAGTACTGACAGCAACAAAACTGGGAGCAAAAGAGAATTGTCACTGAGGCTAAACGGGCTAAGTGGATAATGTGCACTATACCTTAACCACAGATAGACTGGCATGAACACACCAGCAGAAATTTTCCTAAACAATGACTAAATTCTTTGTGGAATACAGAGAAACTTCATGTTAGAGTGAACCAGAGATAGGATAATTGTGTTAACAAAACAAGAAAAAATTTGTAGTTCTATACTACCCTTCACAGCAGAAAGATGTGGCAGTCTGCTTCTGTAAAGATTTATAGCCTTGGAAACCTAAGAAGGATGGGGCAGCTGTACTCTGCCCTGTAGGGTCACTGTGAGTCTAAAACAACTCAACAGCAGTGAGTATACTACTTTAAGGTCCCTAGGTGATGCAAACAGTCTGTGCTCAACTACTAACCAGTGGGTTGGTGGTTCAAATCCACTCAGTGGTATTGTGGAAGAAAGGCCTGGTGATCTGCATCTATTGAGATTAAAGCCATGAAACTCCTATGGAACACATAGGGTTGCCATGAGTCAGAATCAACTGAATGGCAGCTAACAACATACTATTTTTATAATAAAGATATGTATTTGGGTTGCTAGGAAATGTCCCAAGGGTTAAAAAGCACAGACAAGCTTCTAGTTACTTTTCCTAAAGTAGGACCCATCCTGAGCTGGATTTTGACAGTGCAGAGTCTGCCTCAAACCCTCTTCTCAGCTTATGCTCAGGGCTGTGGTATGTAACTGATACGACTCTAAATAGTTGATACTGTATTTTATTTTGAAATACAATTCACCTTGATTTCAGAAGTGGTACCATTTTTCATATGTATATTTACTATTTTTTCCTCTCATGCCCCCTTCTAAAAAAACTATTAAATTGAGGAAGTAGCAACAATTTGAAGGCATTTTAGAATCAAAACTCTCTTTATGCTCTGGTATCTGTTTTCCTAGTTTTCAGTGTGTCTAAGAGGTAGACAGCATTATCCCTAAGTTACAGCTGAAGAAGCTTAGAAGTTATCACTTGTCAGCTAAAGGTCCTTATAAGTAGTTCCTTACTCGCTAAGTGTCTGTGTAATCAGAAGCTCAACCTACTTCAGAATCCACCTCCTGACCCCAGCAAACCCCATAGAATCACTAATGGAAAGAAGCAAGTTCATTCTGACTTCTCCCCCACTTCACTTCTCTTTTATAGAGTGGTGACCAATAAGCTGCTGCTTTCCATCATCATCTTACTGGAGCTCGCCATCCTGGGAGGCCTGGTTTACTACAAATTCTTTCGCAAGCACTGAACTTCCTATAGATATGAAGGATTTGTGGACCAGAACTCTGACCCTGTGAATGAATGATGTTAGAGACATGGAGTAAGTGAGCTGCTGCTGTAGGCTAACAGTTCAAGGATGCACTGTACAAACTGTGGGACGAGGGTGGGAAGACAGAAAGCCACTTAATGTGAAGGAACACCAACAAGGCCAGAATGATATACCAAGGTAATAAATGCTGTTTATGACTTCTTTAAATTTACATAGTACTCCAGTATATTAACATCCTGTGAACTTCAAAAAAAAACATACATTTACAGTACTAGTATTGGTCACTGAAATGGAAAGGAGAAACTTATATATAAGAGTGCTCAAATGTTCTCATTAAGGCGATGTTGACCTGGACAATGATTTAGTATCTGTCCTCCATGCTTCTGGAATGCCCATTGTGAAACACCTCTCGACACATAGCAGAGTCCCTAAATTCTCACACATTCTTTGCTTTCTGATTCATCTGGTGAACTGGGCGTAGGAAGTTGGTCATAGACAACATGCCCTCCTTCCCTTGTCTGACCAAAACTTGAAGCAATGACATCCACCGCCAGGCCAGCTGTAGCCTTCACCTCTTCCTCTGAAGCGGCCAACTGAGGATTGACTTCAACAAGATCCAGTGCCGACAGCAACCCTGAAAGAACAAAGTTTGAAAAAGCCTCAGAAATTACCCTAGCTGCTACTTACAGTGAGGGTTCTACCTGGACAGGGACAAATGGCAAGGTAAAAACAAGAGTCATTTTCTGCTGTAAAATTAACCACCATCAGGAAGTCCCTGCCACCTCATCCTCTCGGTCATGAATTTAAGTTAAAGCACAGGTATACTACAGTACGGTGAGGAAGAAACCTTTCTGGTAATGAAGTGAATCATCCCAACAAACATAATAGGCACAGCTGTCAGGCTTTCTGGCTTGGATAAGGAAAAGACTTTTGGGAAAGACAAGAAAAAGATTCTAACATGCCTTTTGGGAAAATGTGTGTCATTTCCAGTGTGACTAAACTTTGCAGATGACCTACCTAGAATTAGGTAAAATATTAAGGCAGAAACAGTCTCTTATTTCTCACTAGCCAGAATTCTGTTCCCACTTTTGAATGCTTAAGGAACAATACCATGTTTCCTGTAGAATAGTGACTACTGCAGACCACGCTGTTACTTCTCCAGGTCTGACCTCTGAGGGCAGGTTCCAATGTCTGACATCACATTTTTATGTCTCCCAGCAACCAATCTAGTATCTTGCACTTGGTTAAGGGAAGACTCAGTCATACATTGATTGTTAAATCTGGACTCCTGTTACCTTCTGTGAGGGTGCGGTAACTTCAGAAATGCTGTGCCAAGTTCTCAGCAGTATTCCTTTGACTTGGAGCAGGCTGAGAAGATTATACGAGAAGAATTTACCCAGGCCTCCCTCCCACCCTGGAATCCTCCACTGCCCAAAAAAAACATACACATAGACCCCACTTCTCTGGGTAAGTTAACTTTTTAGTTGGTTATTCTGGATGAAATTAATCTACATCTTCAAGAGTCATCTATATAAACTAGTATTTGAGAATATTTAGGGTGACCATAAAGTCTGGAAACATCAGCAAATACACCTAATGAATGGTTTATTTGGTACCACACTTTAGTACATTACTCCCTCAAAACGGTATGTTGAAGTCTTAATCTCTGATAACAGCAAATGTGATCTTGTTTGGAAATAAGGTCTTTGAAGATGTTATTAATTAGCATGGGGTCATACTGGAGTGGGGTGGGTCCTAATCCAGTATGACTGGTGTCCTTGAGAAAAAAAAAAACATGGGAGAAGGCTGTGTGAAGATGGAGGCAGACTTGGAGTGACACATCTACAAGCCAAGAAAAGCCGAGTTTTGCCAGCTGTCACCAGAAGCTAGCAGAGGACACTCCTCTGTGCCCCAGAAGGAATCAACACTGCTGGCAATTTGATTTCAGACTCCTAGTCTCTAAAACTTAGAAACAATAAATTTCTTCTTAACCAAACCAAAACCAAAACCAAACTCATCGCTGTCGAGTCGATTTGACTCAGCGACCCCACCTCCTTGGGTTTCCAAGGCAGTATCTCTATGGAAGCAGATTGTCCAACCTTCCTTCCAAGGAGTTCGGAAGTTCTTTTAAGCTAACCAGATTTGTGGTACTTTGTTACAGCAGCCCTGGGAAACTACTACATCCATGATACATTCAATACCATTACACCATTCAGTGTGCAGTCACTTATTACCAGTGTGCAGTTCAGCACTGCAAAGCTTCAGTAAGCAGGTATATTCATGGTGCCTTTCCATCAAGCCCTGCATGTGGTTCTGAGATGCGTTGCCTCAGATGAGTCATGTCTCTGATATCCAATGACTAAACCTACACTTTTAGCATATCCCAAAAGAGGTAATCAAGAGGATTTGAGCTATTAAGAAAACACTGTATTTCCAAATCACTGTCACTCTGAATTAGTTCAAGCACGTCACGATAGACAGTCCTTCGTAGCCTGGGGGTAGGAGTGGGGAGAACAGGACAGGGTGTAACACTGCCCCATCCAGGTTACCATCCCCTCCTATAACTGGTGTCATTGGGAAGCAAAGTAGAAGACAAACTCCCAGGATCTCTGACCATCAATCCAAGGACCACTGACAACATCTAAGGATTATGGGTCTGAGAATGAGGCTTTTCATTCCATTGTTAGGTGTTATAGATGAGCTCACGCTGCCTTCCTGTACTGCCCAAGGATCTAGTGGGCTCCAGAGCCAGGGGAACCATTTGCCAAATATCTGTTACTATGCCAGCTAGTCAAGGGTTCCTTATAACACATGCTCCCAGACTCAATCTGGGATCTCTATGCTTCTCTGTCTACATGTCAATCTTGAGGCAGTTAGTGAAGTTTTATAGTGGCCTTTAAACCAGAAGCTTCTGACAAATGGAAACTATTTACAAAAAACGTGAGTTTTAACATAGTTAACCCCCTTCAGCCACTCTTGCTAACTCCAATATCCCAGTGTTAAAGCTCCTACCAAATATGCCTGAGCAAAAACTATAAAGGACCCAAGGTGGTATCCAACTTTCAAATACCTTCAAAAGATAAGCTTTAACTCCAAATTTCAACTCCCATTTAACTGACTTAAATTATAGCTACTTGACCTTGCCTTTTGCTCTTAATCTTCCTTTTGATAATACTGATAAAAGGAACTGTATCACTTTGACAGTTTATTCTTATGTTTAATAAGTGATTGAGTAGAGACATAAACACCTTTTCATTCAGTATTAACCTTAGCGTATTTCAGTACAAGCCTGGTCCAAACATGCCTCTGAATGGCTGTATCCCCTCATTAGCTTGGCCATATGAGTTTAAGCTATAATAATTCAAGCAAAAACAAAGTCTGCAATGACACAGAATAGTAGAAAAGATCCCCTGCAAGGAAGAGGCTCTGGCATACTTACTTAGTTAATAGGCTGCAGGGGTGGTTGGTACATACCAGTATTATGTATTTCCTCAGTAATGTACATGCCTTCTCGATAGGTCAGTCCCCCTGCAACAGGGGTTCCTGTGGCTGGAGCCAGTGTAGGGTCAAATGCATCAATATCAAAACTCAAATGGATTGGCCTTTGTCTTCTAGAAAGAAGGAGAATAAAAGAACAATTATTTGGTTGTGCTTGGGCCTTGATCTTTCCTATGGTTGTGATTCCTTGATTTCATTGCTGTCAGTCCTTGTACTTTGTTCATACAACAGATTTCCATATTAGCTTTCCACACACTAGTTCGTGAAATTGACATTTGTTCTGCACGCCTCAGACTGCCTGACCCCAATTTCTATTCTGGCTTATCCTGGGCATTAGAACCTCTACTTCAGCAACTATTAGGAGAGGGAGAGGGAATTCTTCACTTCCATGTGATTTTGAGCTCTGATATGTTCTAATTTAGGGAGGACTGATCTAGGTTACAGTTCTTGTTATTATCTTAAGACTATAAAAGCAACTAAACTTAAACTCTGCTTTTATGTCTGCAATCTTCCAGTTCTAACTTCAGTTCAGCCCAGGTGCCCAGTGTTGAAACTAACATACAATATGCTTTGCCAAATAAATTTCTTAACAGCTTAAGAAATGGCATACTAGACAATGGTCCTATAAGTGTATTTGTATGATCTGAATTCCCAGGTGTATAGTAGAGCTGACAAGGGACACAGCCAGCTACCCAGAAGGACTGACTAGTTGAACCTGTGGGCTCGGGACCGTAGTCACAGGGGATATCAAGCTCAATTGGCATAACATACTACACAAAACATTGTTCCACCTTACTTTGGTGAGTAGTGACTGGGATCTTAAAAGCTTCCAAGCAGCCATCTAGATGCAACGATGGGTCTCTCCTCGTCCAGAGCAAAGAAGAATGAAGAAAACCAAAGACTCATGGAAACAATTAATCCTAGTGACTGATACATCATGTGATCCTCAGCCTATATGACTATGAGGCCAGAAGAACTAGATGGTGCCTGGCTACCACTGTCAACCACTCGGGGGGAGATCTATGTAGGAGATCCTGGATAGAGAGGAAGAACAATGTGGAACAAAACTCAAAATCATTTGGGTGAAAAAAAAGGGGGGACCAGGTTTGCTGGTCTGATAAAGCCTGGTAGAACCATTGAGACTATGGCCCCTAGCTGCCCTTCAGGTCTGGAATTGAACCCACACCTGTGGCTTCCAGCCAAACAAAAGACAGGCATGTGACTTGAACATTACCTGAGATAGATACACTCCTTGGAGAGAACAATCAGGGAAGAAAGAAGGGCTGCTTATGCACAGGGAGACAGCTCAGGGGGCAGGAATGCACGAAGGGATGGACACAGGGAAGAGATAACTATCGGGAGGATGTGAGAGGGGAGCTGTTGCGTTGTGGTAAATTGTAGTCAATGTCATGAGACAAAGTGTATGTGAACTCCTGTATGGAAAGTTTGCTCTGTAAATTTTCACTCAAATACAATTTTAAAAGACAGAGGAAAAAAAGAAATGGCATACTACCAGAGGCAGTGCTGACATTAATCACCCAGAAACAAAGGCTCAGAATTTGAAAAATGCTCTTAAATTAGATTAGGACTCATCTGCCATCTTTCTGTACTACCAAAATTTGCTTCATACGCTTCTAATGAAGTAATTGTGAAGGTCAGAAGAAAAGAGAACAATGAATGCTTCTCATTGCGAAAGACAGCAAGCACTAGAAATGGAGCTGAAGAGAAATTCATATGAGGCAGAGGGTTGGGACAATGACTTAAAGGAAATCCCCTCCCAACCACAGAGGAAGATTAGGTATGTTTCATATTACATCCTTCGTTCTGAAGTATTTGAATTTTCACATGTACATGCTTTGTTTTTTTGTATTTTAAAGAGAAGCTATCCTTGAGAGATAGGTAAAGTGTGCTGTTCATTGCAGGGAGTTTGACCTATCCTTTTGGGACCTAGAAGTAGAAGTTGTTGTAATCACTTACTTGCCAATCAGCAGATCGAAGGTCTGTTCCATGACCTTCTGGATACCAAGTCGATCAATGTCCCTCATGGAAAAATACTGGATATCATAGTTCTTTAAAATAAAACTGTGGTGAGATATAAAGGAAGGAGTCCTTAGTTTAAAAAGCAATTTTACAAATGTAAATTTAGAGGCACTTTGCCTTTATAGTGACCACCAACAGGTTAAGTCAAGCATCAACCTTTCAAATGGAATATACAACAAAAGAGAAAAAAAAATCACCGCCATTGAGTCAATTCTAACCCATAGCAACCTTACAGGAGAAGACAGAACTGCCCCACAGGGTTTCCAAGGCTATAAATCTTTACAATGCAGACTGCCACATCCTTCTGAGGAGCGCCTGGTAAGTTCAAGCCACCAACCTTTTAGTTAGCAGCTGAATGCCTTAGCCACCACACCACCAGAATGCCTTCAAAGAGAACATAAGTGGCCACAGTAGATTCAAAGCCTAACCCTAACATATCAACTTACTGTTCAGGAGGGTCCACATCTCTTAGACCAATATACACAATATCTGGTGAAGAGATACAAGGTTTGAGCCAGGAAAACCCTGGGAGTTGTGGTACCTATGAAAGGAGGAATGAACAGAATTAATCAAGAATTCTTGTCTCACCGCTATATGCTGTTTGATTTCTCCTCAGACCCATAGGATATGTTTAAAGCAACATAAGGCTTGATCTGGGAAGGAACTGATATAAGTGGAAATGTTTCAGAAGGGCAGCTGAAAAAAACAATATCAATTTCTCAATAAGAATATAAAAAAATCTCTTCTCCTAAAGTGGCCTCAGTTTCTCATTAACTTACCTAAAAAACAGTAATACTTGCTCATTAGCCCCTTTCCACCTCTCTGCACATTACTGAATTGTTTACAGATTGGTTCTTAAAGCATAACCCAGCTGCCATTTCAAGTTGCCAACAACCAAAACATGAATCCTGCCTAATGAATCACCTTTGTACTGTTCATGTTTAACTTGGTCTCTCACTGAGGGGAGGGATATACCGATTCTAGTCGATGCCTGACATGGGCTCCCATGTCTATATTTTTTCTGAACAGTTTAAAAAAAAATATTACCCAGAGGAAATCATGGTTTCCCTTGTTTTTGAGACCAGTAGGTCTGAGGTGTGGCCTGGCAGCTTTCAACCAAGAAGTCCTCAGGCTGTGAGTCTTATCAATCACTAGTTACTACCCATCACCACCCTGCTTGCTTTTATACCAGATAATATGCTCCCCTGAGAACAGGAACCATCATCTGTATCCCTAGCATCTGACAGACTCCCTGGCCTTCTAATGTTTGATGAACAAATGAAGGAATGGTAAGCATTTCTACCACCTGTTACATTCACCCGTCCTTCACAGAAATCTTGCTAAACTAGACACTAAAACCCCAGGATAATCCCCAGAAGCCATTCAACTTTCTTTTCACTTCAGCCAACTGACCTTGTCCTGTAGTTCTCTGAGGAGGAATGAAACTGGCTGTCCATGGAGATTTCCAGATGAAGTGGTAAGCGGGGTATTGATATCAGCATGGGCGTCAACCCAGATGACACAAAGGTCCGGGCAGTGCCGGGCGTGGCCACTAATGGTTCCAATTGCCAGGCTGCAAAGAACAAATACAATAATCTTCAAAGCCCTCTGCTTGGCAAACCTCACCAATAACAAATAGCCTCAGCTCGCACTCTGTCCTAGGGCAAAGTCGGAGCTCTGGATTAAGGCACATGTTGGATGAGACAGAGTCCCAGGGGTTGCTGCAGCTTCCATAGACTAAGCCTGATGAGTTACACAGAGGAAAATAGAAGACTTTTAAGATCAAAACTGACAATTGATTACCCCTGCAGTGTGTCAGATGTCATTGTTGCCCCAGATTCATATCATTTGATCCATTAGCCAGCGAAGAACCTCAAATATTTGTTCAATGAAATGATACCTAGTTAAATGTTGTTAGGTGCCATTGAGTTAACTCCAACTCAGTGACCCCATGCACAGCAGAACGAAACACTGCCAGTCCCATGCCAGCTCCACGATCCTTGCTATATTTGAACGCATCATTGGCAGCCACTGTGTCAATCCATCTCACTAAAGGCCTTCCCCTCTTTAGTCGACCCTCCACCCTATCAAGCATGATATCCTTCTCCAGAGAATGGTTCCTTCTTACAACATGACCAAAGTAGGCGAGACAAAGTCTGGCCATTCTCGCTTCCAAAAGAGCATTCTTGGCTGCACTTCTTCTAGGACAGATTTGTTAGTTCTTTTAGCAGTCCATGGTACTTTCAGCATTCTTCGCCGTACCACAACTCAAAAGCATCAACTCTTCTTCGGTCTTCCTTATTTATTGTCCAGCTCTCAGAGGCATATGAGGTGACTGAAAATGCCATGGCTTGTGTCAGGTGCACCTTAGTTAAATAAAGTAGTCTGTATGTACACAACTCACAAAAATGATGCTTCATACCTCTTAAGGAAGACTTTGGAGATCTAATGATTACTTCCAAAGAATCAGTTTTCTTAATTTTTTTAAGGATAAAAATTAGAAAGCATCATAGCTTTTTAAAAAGATTGTATGTGGTACTTCCCAACCTACTTCCCAACCCTTGAAAAATAAAAGATGTTAAAGACATACTAACTATGGAAACCCAAGTGTGAAGATGTCATTTAGCCCCATGAAGAAAACAAGTTAATCTGCACGTTACCTTATATACATCATACCACCTCACTGCCGTCGAGTCGGAACCAACTCATAGCAACCCTTCCCTGGGTTTCCAAGGCAGTATGACTATGGAAGTACATTGCCGAACCTTCCTTCTGTGAAGTGGCTGGTGGGTTTGAACTGCCAGCCTGGTTAGCAGTCAAATGCCTTAGGCACTTCACCACCAGAGCTCCCATATATACATTAGCAAGGCATTTAAATATCCTGAACTTTTTCTGTTTTTGTCTGTCTGCGTCCTGCCCCAGCTTCCCATAACCAAAGCATTTGACAGATAGGAAATACAACTTAAGCATCTTAGGAACTAACTGCAGCCACCTTTCTTGGTCAATATAGCATGAATCACAGTTAGGCTCCAGGACCTCTCTTTGAGGGATGTTGTCATTAGGTGCCATCAAGTCAGTTCCAACTCACAGTGACCCTATGTACAACATTGAAATGCTGCTTGGTGCTGCACCATCTTCACGATGGTTGCTGTTTCAGCCCATTGTTGCAGCCACCGTCAACCCATCTTGTTGAGGGTTTTCCCCTTTTTTGTTGATGCTCTACTTTACCAAGCATTATGCACTTCTCCAGGGACTGGTCTCTCCTGATAACATGTCCAAAGTAAGTAAGACCAAGTTGCGTCATCCTTGCTTCTAAGGAGCATTCTGGCTGTACTTCTTCCAAGACCAATTTATTCATTCTTTTGGCAGTCCATGGTATTTTCAGTGTTCTTCATGAACACTTAATTCAGATGCATCAATTCTTCTTTAGTCTTCCTTATTCACTGTCCAGCATTTACATGCATATGAGACTATTGATAAAATGGGTCAGGTGCACCTCAGTCCTCAAAGTCACATCTTTTCTTTTTAACATTTTAAAGAGGTCTTTTGCAGCAGATTTGCCCAGTGCAGACGTGCTTTGATTCTTGACTGCTGTTTCCATAGATATGATTACGGATCCAAGTTAAGTGAAATCTTTGATACCATCAGTGATGTTGCTTATTCATCCAGTTGTGAATTTTTGTTTTAGGTTGGGGTATAATCCATACTGAAGGCTACAGTCTTTGATCTTCATCAATAAATGCTTTAAGTCTTCTTTACTTTCAGCAAGCAAAGCTGTGTCATCTTCGTATCATAGGTGGTTAATTAGCCTTCCTTCAATCCTGATGCCATATTCTTTATATACTCCAGCTTCTCAGATTATTTGCTTAGCATACAGGTTGAGTAAGTATGGTGAAAGGATACAACCCTGAATGCACACCTTTCTTGATTTTAACACACACAGTATCCCCTTGTTCTGTTCAAACAACTGCCTCTAGGTGTATGTACAAGATTTCATGAACACAATTAAATGTTCTCGAGTTCCCCACTTTTCAAAATGTTATTCATAAGTTGTTGTAATTCACATGGTTATGATTTGTTATGGATTCGTTAACACAATTTGTTATGATTCATGCAATGCCTTCGTGTAGTCAGTAAAACACAGGTAACATCTTTCTGGTATTCTCTGCTTTCAGCCAGGATGCATCTGACATTAGCAATGATATCCCTCGTTCTGTGTCCCCTTCTGAATCCACTTTGAATTTCTGGCAGTCCCTATTGATGTACTGCTACAACTGTTTTTGGATTATCTTCAGCAAAATTTTACTTGCATGTGATAATGATATTTTTCAATAATTTCCATATTCCACTGGATCCCTTTTCTTTGGAATGGGCACAGATATGAGTCTCCTCCAATCAGTTGGCCAGGTAGCTATCTTTCAAATTTCCTGGCATAGACGTGTACAAGCATGCCAGGAAGTATCTTTGAGGGATAGCATAGTCTAATGCAAGCAGTGGATTAAGTCAGAATTTTATGGTTTTAGCCCTGGAAGGCCTAAATGATGTAGAACAAGTCACCCAATTTCTCCAGACTTCTACTTCCTTTTCTATAAGTCTGAGTTGGTTTATGGGGACAAATAGTTTGTATTATACTATGGTTCTTCCTTTAAAATGTTTACTAACTGTTCCAAGTTACATATTCATCCCTTCCTTTCTAGAATTTCCCAGACTGCCTAAGTTACAGCACTGAACAGGAAAAAAGTGAAGCAGTGACGGGACTGCATTGTAGCTACCTACCTACAGGCAAAAGAAACTAAGGCCTGTGGTAAGCACATTGCTAAAAGGGCCCTAAATAATGAGAAGTGACCAGAAGAAAGACTGGACAAATGACCTTCCAGAGACAGCACTCAACTAGGAGCCAGGAGACCCACCTTCTGGTTGATTTCCTTAAATCTTAGTAGAGAACCTAAGATGACCATTTTCTTATCCTATCAGAATTTTTGTACCTAATAAGGAATCTACCTGCCTCTGTGGTTGTAATAAAAATAAAAAAAAAAAAAGATTTAACTTCTGTTAAATTCTCTGAGAAGCTCTCGGGACAGCTGCTAGATTGGCTCTGGAAAGAGAAGTTAATTGCCATAGAGGTCACACTGACTTTGAATCCCAGTTCTACTACTACCTGACTCTCAATCTTGATTAAGTTATTTGATCTCAATGTTCTGGGCAATAAATTAAGATAAATGTATCCACCTCATAGCATTGTTAGGAGGAGTAACTAGTACTTTGATGCCTTTTTTCCTACTACAAAAACCTTCATTACTTAGGTCAAATCATACTCCTCTGTGAAATCTGACAACTCTAGTCCAAGTTCACTTCTACTCTTAAATCTTGTAGAATTCACTATTTTATTTTTGATACCACCTTTCTTTTTTTTTTTTCATCTAGTCCTAATAGATCACAGATTTCCTGAAAACAGGGACTTTATCAAATGAAAGTCTTAAGATAGTTTCTCAAGAAATCTACTTCCATAGTGATACTGCCTCGAAAACCCAAGGAGGGGTCGCTATGAGTCAGGTCCGACTTGACGGCACACAACAAAGCAGCGTGAAATAGTAACTAACAGCCTTGCTTGGTCTATCTCTGAATTTGCTTTGTCTGAATGGACACGTCCTATTAGGCAGCATATTGTACAAAGAAAACCACATGTGCCTCCACTCCAGCAGCTCATGATCTTAGACATGAAAATGCGGTTATTTACACACATCATACTCTATTTCTCCAGATGAGGAAACTAAGACAAAAATGCTAAATGATTAGCCCAAAGCACCATGTAACCCAGCCTCTCCAATATTCACCTCCTAGCTTACCTGTGGTCTCCCCCCACCGTGATGCAGCTGTAGCCATCTGACACAGCTCTACTAACCACTTCAGCCAGTTCTTGGTTGGCAAAGCCTACTGAGCGTGGATTCACTATCAGGTTGTTGTAGAGATCATCTTTGGGAACTGGAGTAAAATTCAAATCTCCAAAGTCCTTTAGGTGGCAGCCTGGAAACAAATGAAGGATGACAAGATTAACTGTGTGAACTATCCCAATTCTTACCAGCCTGAACCATAAATAACCATTTGTGACAAAATACACGTACTCATTCTGTCAGAGTAAAATTGAAAATGCTGCATGACCATGTGGCAGGATTATCTCAATTCCTGTCACAATCATAGTAAGCAGATTGAGTTGTGAGCCCCATTTTACAAACGACACTGGCCAGGAAATGTAGGTCCAGTTATTAGATGAGAATGGATTCTGGTGGACAGCTAGCAATTTGCCAAATGAGCATTTTTCAAATTCTGCCATAACATTTAAGTGATTAAGATCTCAAATACTAAAGCTTAAGTTGCCCTAGGATTACCATTTTATATCCTTTTTAACTATTCTAATTCATTACAGAGCTGAATCAGTGAATGCACTATGCCATCCTGATGCAGCCTCTTAGCTTTCTTCTTTAATGCCCACTGTACCAACAGCATTGTAGCACCCAGAGGTCTAGGAGAATAAAACCCAGGACTAGGTTCCAAAGAACACACAAGGGCCTGAAAGGAAATGTACATGGCATGTTTAGAAACGGCTGAGCAATTTATTAGGAATGGGTTTGAATGCTGCAACAATGTGATAGAAGATTGTAGAGAACATGAATTATAATCCATAAACCAGAGTTTTTGAGATAAGTGGGAAGGATGATGGGAGGTTAATCTTGTATAAAGAGCAGGTTGAACTGGATCATACTGAAACTTACTTTACCAGAGTGCTGTGGCAAATTCTGCTCATTTAATAGGAGTAAGAAATGGTCATTTTTAATGAATCAGTTACTAATGAAAAGAGCAAATACTGTCATGTGGAGGGACTGTCTGCCTGTCACGCTTGTGGGAACTGTCTCTTCCTTTAACTCTGTACTTCAAGTTACCTCACCTGCGAGTTTATGGCAGGTGATTCCTAGGGTTTCATTGCTGCCTTTTCCTCACTTGTAAGAAGGCACTGTAGTACAAGATGAACCTGAAATTTCAAGGAAGCTCTTAGGTCAAAGACACCAGGAACCAATTTGAAAGGGCTCTCATTTTCCACTTGCAGTGAGAAAAGTAAAGTTTTTATACATTGGCACAGCCTTGTGGCTTTTCTCCCCAGTATTGGTAATAAAAACACTGTGTTGGCAATAAAAACACAGAGTAATAAAAACACAAAAGTCTGATCTTTTAGGCCCAGATGTCACCTTTGCCTTTGATAAACCTTTCTAGGCTCCTTGGGAGTAGAAGGATAGAACATAAGTGTATCAACAGGATGATGCAACCAAGCAGTGGGGGGGGAAAAAAAAATCAATACAGCCCCATGGGACCTCAGCATTATCTGTGAATAGCACTTCAATTTCAGGGCCCTGATCACTAATGAGTGAATGCTGAAAGCCAGTGACTGGAAAGAAGGGAATGGAGAATAACTGCCTGCCTCCACATACCACACTGTGCTAGGCCCTTTACATGTAAGTGTAAATCCTCGTGCCCTCTGTTAGCATCACACTGACACTCTGGAGGAGGAAACGGCAGCTCAGCAAGGTTTAACAGCTCCAACTGTAATAGACAGCAGTTTCAGAGCAAGCCTGATACTCCTTGGACTCATATAACCAGGTATTTTCCAACCTCACTCTCCCTACTGCTGACATTGAATTACAGATGGCCCCATCTATTACTAAGGCTTCCAGGAAGTTATGAGAGATGACTGCCAGAAGATTCCACTGAGCCCTAGATGGCCCACTGACAGAAAACTAGATTTGGATAAAAGTAAGAAGTCTTCACCATCTGTCTCTGGGTATATGGAAATGTTTATGACTTATCAGGAATAAGTCAGTAAACATGGAGAAAAGCTAAGACTGTGAGCTTTCATTTGATGCTGAGAGAGTACTAAAGGATTTTAAAAGTCAAATACTATCCATGGCAGATTTAGCTCCATGCAAAGAGAATTCTCAGTATTTTGAAGGATTGCACTTGCTGATTCCTAGAACCTCAAAATTGTAGTTTAATAATGTTTTCCTAGAAAACAAAGTTGCAACATTACTAAAGGTCTAAACTAGGAAAGAAAAGAATACCAGGGTTAATTCAGGCCACTTGAAGTAAGCAGAACTTCTCTCTTATGCCCAAAGTATGATTTAAGTAGTAACTTTTGAAGAGACTGTTATTTAAGGAAATTCATTTAATTCCATCAATAAAATGCAGAGGTTTCCAATTTATTTGGTGCATGTAACTCCCAAAGGCTATGCGACCTTAACATCCATGTGTCTTGAGGTATCTGAAAATCAGCTCTTTGCTTCTTTAGAGCTAAGTTTGTTGCATCAGGTAAAAAAACCATATCACACCAAAAGACATATTTGTTGTAGTTAACTTCTTCAGAATCCCCAAGAAGATGGTTCCAACCAGTGCTCTCAACTTGTTCCTTCCCACTCTGCTCTCCTGTTACCTCAGCAACTGGTAAGCAGCGAAGATGACAACTGAGAAGGAGAGAAGCAGGGATGTTGGCAGTGGGGCTTCTAGGAGGGAAAGTCACCCGGGGAATCCAGGCCAGTCGCTCCAGACACATTCACCTAGCATATGCAAGTTCAAATGATACAAAGACAGTGATGCCTCTGCATGAAAGTGATCCTAGAATAAAAAAAAATCAAATATAACTCAAACTCCAAAATTTGGCTCAAGAAATATAGCTGAGATGACTTAGAGTTACATATTTCCTGCTAATTCGTCCTTGCCCAAGGAGAACAGATACCTTCTGAAGACAGACTTAGTAACATGTGCCCCTCTGAACCAAAGTCATGTCAACCCCCCAAGCACTTTTAGATCATGCTGAGCCAGCTCAGGATTTCTAAGGCAGACTGTAAGCTGATAGACCCTTAGCAGCTTGGTTCCAGCACAGGCAAGGTACGGGAGGTAAAAGGAGGTTCCTCTGGCTCTGTAAGCCACAGCAACACAACCACTGTCCGTCTTCAGAACAAGAATAAGACTGTCAATCTTAAGAACAAGATTACTGAGCTTCTCTGAAGACAAAAGATCTACTGTCATTCACATATTGACAAGACCTCAAGCTGTGCCAATATGCCACACCAAATGCAAAGGAAAAAGTCTCTGCCCTCTGGCCCCTAACTTCCTAGAAGAGTCAAGATCTCTGTTGTTCTTATGTGCCATTGAGTTGGCCCCGACTCATAGTGACCCTTCCTTGGGTTTCCAAGGCAGTATCACTACGGAAGTAGATTGCCCAACCTTCTTTCCGAGGAGTGGCTGGCGGGTTTGAACCTCCAGTCTTCTGGTTAGCAGTCAAGTGCCTTAGGCACTACGCTACCAGAGCTCCTTAAGATCTCTAACCAAGTTCAGTTTCTAAGCCTGTCCTACCTCACACAGTTGTTACGCAGATTAAATGAGATAATAAGAAAAAACCTGATACATGGTAGAGATTACATATTTGTATGAATGAGGCATCTTTGTGGTTCTTCTCTCCACCGCACCCTTTTTTACTTTCCCTTGAAATTGATGGTGTAACCTAAGACTTCCCAAAACTTCTTTTAATATGACTGTGTCACTTTGAATAAAGGAGCTCTGGTAGCATAGTGGCTAAAGCACTTGACTGCTAATCAGAAGGCTGGCGGTTCAAACCCACCAGCCACTCCTCGGAAGGAAGGTTGGGCAATTCTACTTCCGTAGTGATACTGCCTCGGAAACCCAAGGAGGGGTCGCTATGAGTCGGGGATGACTCGACGGCACATAACAACAACAACAACAACACTTTGAATAAAAACAGAGTTTGGGGTAGGAAGCAGCAAACAAACACAGGCCCACTAATTTCTCACTGAAATGGCTCCTGGAGTCCAACTCTCAAACACAATTCTATATTCCCTATGAAAGGATATAAACAAGCAAGGCCAATTTAATCACACCCTGCTGTGACTCAATCCTTGGGTCACACAGATGTTTTCTTTTCCTATTCAGAGGTTCGTACTTCTTGGGGGTTGAGAGGATAGAGAGCAGAGAAGATTCTGTCTTCTCTTCAAATTTTAAGTATGACCACACCTGTTTTATTAACATACTCTCAATTTTAAGAGAGTTTGGTCATTAGTGGTGGTGGTGTTATGTGCCGTCAAGTCGGACCCAACTCATAGTGACCCCTCCTTGGGTTTCCGAGGCAGTATTACTACAGAAGTAGATTGCCCCTTGAGGTTGTCAAGGAATTCACATTGCTTGGTTCTACAATCGATGCCAACGGAAGCAGCAGTCAGGACATGAGACGTCGTGTAGCATTGGGAAAGTCAACTGCGAAGGAACTGTTTCAAGTGCTGAGGAGCAAGGATATCTCCTTGAGGACTAAGGTGCGCCTGACACAAGCCATGATATTTCCAATCACATTGTATGCATGTGAGAGCTGGACAATGAATAGGGAAGACCGAAGAAGAGTTGATGCTTTTGAGTTGTGGTGCTGGCGAAGAATGCTGAAAGTACCATGGATTGCTAAAAGAACTAACAGATCTGTCCTGGAGGAAGTGCAGCCAGAATGCTCCTTGGAAGCAAGAATGGCCAGACTTCGTCTTACCTATTTTGGTCATGTTGTAAGAAGGGACCATTCCCTGGAGAAGGATGTCATGCTTGGTAGGGTGGAGGGTCGACGAAAGAGGGGGAGGCCTTCAACGAGATGGATTGATACAGTGGCTGCGATGATGGGCTCGAGTATAGCAGGGATTGTGGGGCTGGTGCGGGATCGGGCAGTGTTTTCGTTCTGCTGTGCATGGGGTCGCTATGAGTCGGAAACGACTTGACGGCACTTAACAACAACAACAACAACAGATTGCCCCATCTTCCTTCCGAGGAGTGGCTGGTGGCCACCAGCCTTCTGGTTAGCAGTCAAGTGCCTTAGGCACTATGCTACCAGAGCTCCTAAGTAAATGTATACAAGGATTAAACTATATAAACCAACCATAATAATCTCTGAGGTTCTAAGCCTCTAAATTGTGCTTGTTTGAACAACA